GTTGTAATGTGACAAAATATGGAAAAGTTCAAGGGGTATGAATACTTTTGAAAACCACTGTATGCACTGTAAAAATGAAGTGTTGAATTTACTAAACCGAGTTGAGTAAATGTGAAGCAATTTAAAAGAAAATATGTAAATTTGGACTAAGTGCTATAAAATTCCTGTTTTAAGACAGCGATCCACTTTGATTTTGACTAAGTTCAGACTAGCCTTTGGCTCATCAGTCTTGTCAGAATAAACTATTTTTCCAAACGTAGGTTGTTCATAGAGCTGTCTACGACAGGTAAGCAGTGCTTTAAGTGGGCCGGTACGCACCGGTACACAGTACCACCATCTCAATTTTACCCCGCAGCGTACCGGAACTTATTTCCTGAGTCTGATGCGTTCTGGAACTGTTGTAAAGCCTGCGTTTCCCATTTCCCTCCGCTCCCTGTACATAAAGCTCTGGACCGCGCAGGCTGAGAAAGAAAAAAATAAAATAAAGGAGTGCTCACTCTTGGCTGGCAGCACACTCTTCTCACACACAGACTGAGTTTATGAACAGAAAAGCCCGACAGAATGGAAAAATAAGATGAAAAATGCATGAAAACAGGGAATCCAGTGCTGGACAGTAAAAAATCAAGAGTTTACGTGGCAGACCAGTTGAAAACACATGAGGACGATGAGGTGTCGCTGCTGAGTGAGATACACATGAAAAAAAAGTCAGGAGGCAGACATAACATGAGAGAAACTAAAGAGGACTCATAAAATGAAGAAAAGAAAACTAAACAGAAATGCACGAAGAACAAAATGCAAGAATAAACTAAGAAACTAAATAATGAACAAACCAGCAGGACTATGGCATGACCTTYTGAGCAATAATTAATTCAGGAGACAAACAGCAAAATACATGATCTGAATAGAAATAAAAACACAGATCTTGATAGGAAACAATATTCAGGAAGGCAAACACAGCAATAAAATATGATGAACATCAAGGAAAAAACTAATATGGCAGAAAATATGAAGCATGATTTAAGCACAGGAGATGGAGTACCCAATAATTGTACTCAGGTAAGAATACCACTACTTCAATATTCTTTTTTCTCAAATAAAAGTAAGAAATATCTCTCCAAGAAATTACTCAAGGATAAAAAAAACTACCCAAGAACTGACTCATTGAGCAGAAACATCTGATTTAATATTTAAAAATGATGTCATCAGACTAACGAAAAGCATGAAATTATGTTCAAGTTTAGTATTTCAAAAACTAAAATGAAAAAAATATATATACCAACAAATGTCATATTTACAAAATAACAAATTAAGACAAAGTGAGCACTTTTCCAAAAATGTTCAAAATTTTAAAACATACTAAACTAATTCAGAAGGCAATGTATGTTAGAGCAGGATAAATAGTGACAATTAGTATTTACTTTATCATTTTCAAATGTCTCAGCAGGCTCAGCAGATAGAAACTAACATCAGATCAACAAAGCTTGTGTTGACATTTGAACAAATTCTGTAGGTGCAGATTTGATTAAAACATTTGTTCTTCATTTAGTGAAGTATGGCCTGTAGAGTATCTGTTTTATTCAGTTAAGAGTCATTGTAACACTGTTATTACTCAAGTGAAAGTAAAAGGTATGATTCAATAACACTCTAAGATTACATTTCCCCCCCTAAAAGTTACTGAATATGTAACGGAATAAAAAATTAGGTGCTATGAACTCCAAGACACTTAGACAACAAAAACAGTGAATTTGACTCTTGTGGATTTGATTTAGAACTGGCTTTGTTCTTAGTCATTTTTGTGCAATAAAACTCCACAGGTATGGATAGATCTATATAAAAACATTACATATGTCTCTATCCCATATTTATATATTATGGGAATACCAGCACTTATGTTTTTCCACTTAAAGCACTGCACGTAAGACATAATTTCTTCAGAACTTCTCCACAAAACCGTACTTTATCATACCCAGAGTATCCCTTTATACATGAGCTGTAAAAACTAAAGCAACGTCCCGTTTTTCTTCAGCAGAGATGTTGTTTTAGGAACAGTTCATGCAAACTGTTACTGATAGAGCACTTTGTAAACACCAGCAACTAAAATATGGATTTATTTCAGATTTGTTCAAATTATTTTCTAGAAAATTAATAATACGAGGCCTAATATAACAAATGTTGTTTTAAAATCCCATCTGTTTGTGTGTTTAGTATTTCKTCTAATCTTTCTTTGTAATCTGTAACAAAGCTCTTTCTCCAGCTTCACCCTGAGTGGCGACTGTGATTGGCAGCGTAATCAGCAGAGGTGCCAGCATCACAGATGCAGTCTCTTCGCTAATTGCATGAAGACTCTGCAGCGCAGGTGCTCGTTCTCTTTGTGAAGTCGCTCTGGCGTGGTCGGCTCCCTTTGTGAGTGCTGGAAGTCTTTGTGCAAATATTTCCCACACGCTCCCCCCACGAGAATCTAACCGCAACTTAAGCTATAATAAGGACAAATGGGAAGACAAAGAAAATGTGAACACAAGGCAGTAATGGAGCAAAATATTACTTTATTTCCACGGCACAGTGAGCGCAGCTGCTCTCCAGATTGACCTTTGGGTGTAGTTACAGCAGCCACAGCTCATTTTCACTCGCACTACAGCAGATTCCAGCCACTCTTGCCCACTCAGGCTTTGTTACATTATTTGGATGTGTTATTGCACTGTTTTTAGTAAAAAAAAACCTCTGCATAACATTAATGTTAGCTGCAGCTCTGCAGTCCCATCACCACAAAATGTTTATAAAACAAGGTGAAAAGAAAGAAAATTAGACACTGAAGGAAACCAGAGAATGAATTCACCTCACAGGCGAAAAACATCTTTGCAGAACAATAAACCTTTAAAAAAATAAAAAACCCACTACCTTACAGCTCTAAAATCCCGACAGACAGACTAGTGTACACATCTGGCTCTAGGCCAAGTGCCCATTGCTGCACCTTCAACAGGCGGTCTGGGATTTGGTTCCAGCTCGCAGTCTTTGTGTACCCTCTGCCTGCTGAGTGCACCGACCCCCCGAGTCATGTTGGTGACGTCCGCCAGCTCTCGCCTCTCGGTTAGCGACGTCATCATGTGCTCCAGTTTAGAGCGGATGGCTGAATAGTGGTGCTGGCGCTCTTTGGTCAGCTTGTGGAAGGTGTCCTTTAAAGTGGCATCCGGAGCCACCCGGGGGGGCCGGGAAGTGGGCGGCGGCAGGGTGGCGTGGACTGGCCCTGCGCTCGAAGGCGTACCGAAGCCGAGGTGCTGCGCGAGCTGGATGTCGGTCTGGGTGTCGCTGTCCGCCACCGACTGGCTGGTCTGAGTTGAAGCGTGGCAGGAGACAGGCTGCTGCTCTACAGGAAAATGCCGAGTCATGCTGCCAGCCAGGATCTGCTCCTGCATGTGCTTCTGCTCCGGCCCATGTACRGTGGAGGAGTCGGACGCCGGGCCAGCTCTGCGATGATCTGGAGAAGGGGGCTCACACGGAGACTCGAACACTAATGTTTGGGGCTTCCGGCTGGGCGTGCTCGTCAGACACGCCAGTTCAGCAGGCTTCTCTTTGGCCAAGCGAGGGGAGGAGGTCACTGAGTGTTTGACCATGAGGTTCTCGAAGATGCTGCTGACACCTGGTGGTCCACGAGTGTTTAAAGGCAGAGACTGGGCGTAGAGGATGCGGAACTCCTCATCAAACTTCTCTGATATCTGACCGGAGAGCTCAATCAGGTTGCTGCTGTTCAGTTTGCCATCAGTCCAGTTGAACCTGGAACAGTAAGATTGAACACATTTGTGACCAATCACATCGAAACGAGGATTAAGTCAAATTAGACTCTAAATAACCTAATCATATTTTCAGATTCCTGGCTTTAAAAGCTACATTTTGATACTTAGATCATTCTGATATCATTAGCATACGCCCAGAGATATTATTTAATTTGTCGGTGGTTACAATAATCATAAATATTTGATCTAAATCCTAATTTTATGTAATTTCAATGAGGATTTCATTTGAAAAAAGAAACCTCAAATAATATTCAAACATTGAGATTTACCAGCTGGAAAGAAACAAAAGCTTTGATAGCTCACAGGGAAAATATCAACATTTTAAGGTGTTTTTCCTCAAAATCAGGTTTTTGGTTGCTAATGCTCAAAAAAGTGCTTCAAATTTTTTTTAGGATAATATTTCAGACACTTCATTCAAATGATATACTGATAACACATTTCTTTGTTATATTTTGACAAAATGTAATTTTTGCAAGCGTTTTAATCAAAACATGATATCTGCCTATTTCTCCACGTACAACTTTAAGACTTAATCCTCGTTTCGACGGTGTGTCACATTTGTTGTTATATCGATGCTTTCTTATAATCCTAAACTAGCACAACAAGAAAGAAGTAAATTAARTCAAAAGATAAGAAGTATAGTGAGAGACACGAGGGGGTAGGTTAGAGGGATGGTATCTCCCTGTTGGAACTAGTTGGTCAACAGCAATCATGATCTCCAGAACAAACTCAACAGGTATTATTTTCTCTCAAAATAATCTCAAGGTTGTTTTGGACATATTCAGCTGATCTTAAACCAATCTGAATTTTGCCTCAGGTGTCTCCAACCCGTCTCAATAAGGCTGTAATTTGACAGAAACCTTCCGAGGCAAATGTCTAGATATAAAACCACACCAATGGTAAATAACCAGTTATTTTAAAAAAAGGTTGAAACGTTTATATTTTCATTTCTAAAACGTACTCCAGCAAATCAAATCATAAACTTGGAGGCAGCTGCTGAGGCGGCTATGATGTGGGCGGAGATGGGCACGGCTAAGAATGTAGTTTTGTGAGCCGTGAGAACCAAAATGGGAACTTTTTTTAAAATACTGCTCATTCAAAATGCAGCTGCRTGCCTCATTGGTTACTTGGTTGTAAACTCTGAGTTCAGTTAGACTACGACAAACACATTACACCTTTTCTTGCAATTTTGAGTCACCTACTCTCCCAACACTACCAAAAAAAAGAAGGCATGAATTGGCTTTGAAAAACAAATGATTTAGGTGTGTTTGTGGAATATAACCACAGGTCTAAATGAGATTTTAATTATTTAAATGGTGTACGACTGGATTCCAAATTTGATGAAAGGGGTTTGATTGTGAGTTAGAAATGGATTGTTTTTTTTTCTCAATGGATACAGATTTGATTTACAGGTTTGTCTAAAGTACAGTAATGATTAGATCTGTAGAATAATGGTGGTAYACTGACACGTCGCAATATTTAATTTCCTGATACTGTAATTCTCAAAGCACTGTACTGTATTTTTTTGTCTAAGGCTCGATGGATGGATCTCACTATTGTTCAGTGTTCCTCTTATTGCAAAAAATAAACTGAATTTAATTAGATTTTATGTGAGTAATGCATGATGTACTGAGTTTTAGAATATTTTGGAGAAAAAAAAAGTCAATATATTGCCTTGCTTACAGTATCACAATATATCAYGATATATCGTATCATGACCCTGTGTTGTGATATGCATCACACATCATATCACCAAATTCTTGCCAATACACAGCCCTAAATTTGATAGTTTTTGTTTTCATAGTTTAGTAGGATTGTTTTCTCAGCGATACCTAAAGCAATAAAGATATTTCTTTAAACACGGCATCTGCAGGTCAAATTTGAATATTTAAGACCTTTTTACCAACCCAAGGTAAAATACAGCTAAAATGCCACACTCAGGTCATACAGCTCAAGTTCTTCCATTCCCAGTCTTCACCCATTTCCACTGGTGTTCCCCATGGTTCTGTACTCGGGTCTCTACTTTTCATAACCTATCTGCTCCCACTTGGCCACATCTTCCGTAAATTTGGTGTTCATTTACACTATTATGCCAACGAAACTCAACTATACATTTCGACAAAACCGAACTCCACCTTATCATCGTCAACTCTTACAGACTGCCTCAGTGAGCTCAATAACTGGTTCTCCAACAATTTCCTCCAACTAAACCATAACAAAACTGAACTCCTCCTTGTTGGGATAAAAAACTCCATTTGTAAATCCCAACATCTTCTCTTCACTCTTAACAACCCCGTTGTTTTCCCCTCTCCTCAGGTCAAGAACCTAGGTGTCATCCTTGACACCACACTCTTTCACATCCCACATTAACAACGAGACTCGATCTGCCTATTTTCATCTTCACAGCATTAACCGTCTCGGTCCTTCACTCACTCCCCGCTCCACTGCCATCTTTGTACACAGCCTAGTAACATCCAGGATTGACTACTGCAACTCCCTACTGTTTGGCCTCCCCAATAAATCTCTTCACAAACTACAGATGGTTCAGAACTCAGCCGCCCGTGTAATCACTCAAACTTCATCCTCTGCCCACATCACTCCAGTCCTACAACAGCTCCACTGGCTCCCAGTTAAATCCCGCATCATCTTTAAAATTCCCCTACACACCTTCAAAGCTATCCACAATCTCTTCCCTCCTTACCTGTCCGACCTCCTGAACATCTCCACACCCTCCCACTCTCTAAGATCTGCCTCCTCCCTCCAACTCTCAGTACCCCCCTGCCCGCCTCAGCACCATGGGGTGCCGAGCTTTCAGCCGCTCTGCTCCGCAGCTCTGGAACTCACTACCCCATGGATTACACAATACCACCTCTCTCTCCCTGTTTAAGACTGGCCTGAAGACACATCTTTTCAAATTAGCCTACMACTGTTAACTCTGATTTTCAATATATGTCTGTTTTTGTTGTCCTCACGTCGATGTTTCTCCCCCACAACCCTATTGTTCAATTTGTCTGCATTATTGTATTTTTTTATATGACTGTTCTGTATTCCACATTTATGTTTCTCCCACACTACCCTTATCATATATGTATCTGTATACTGTATGTATCTACATTTTTTTTACTTGTTACTGTTTTCTATTGCACAGCGTCCTTGGGTGTCCTGAAAGGTGCTTTATAAATAAAATGCATTATTATTTTTATTATTATCCCGACAGGTCAAAGGTTTAGTAAATTATACCTGTAGGAACCTGTAGCCACTCTGTTTCCATCAATCAGCATGAACCGCTCGTGAACTTTCCCAGTCAGCCTGGCTCCAGATCTGGTGTAGTAAGTCGTACCGGTAATGGTTCGCACTCTCATTTGCTGAAAGGATGGAGGACATATTTTAGGCCGATGTCATCAAACGTTCACGTTGTGCCTACAGAGCCACGCCCGGCACAACCAAACCGGCCACATACCCGCAGGTCGTCCAGGCGAACGCCGACGCCTCTGCACATCTCCAGGAGAGCGGGAGCGCACGCCTGGTCAAGCAGAATGTAGACGGGGACTTTGCGGCGGGAGCAGGCCTCCTGAAGATCTTTGAAGATGTCCAGATCTGTAAGGGAGTCCGTCACTATGGCAATCACCTGCAGTGGAAAATTACAGAGGTAATATAATAAAATTCCTGTTGGGGCTGCCGTCGTGCTCGCGCAGACGTAGCACATTATTGTGTTTTCATTATTATCAAACACAAGGCCTTATTCAAACAGAGCTGCGAATTTCTGTCACACACTCACCGTAATGTGTGTGCGCTGATGAGCTTTCTATTGACTGTGGTCTGTTACCATGGCGATCCGTCGCCATGCTTGCTCAGCAAACAAATGATTTTTATACGTGAGGAAAGTAGGTGCGCTGAAGGGTTTTTCTCTTCTTTCTAAGCATTTTTTGTGCACCACGATTTCTCTTTTTTTCTTCCTCCCTCCACAGAGAGGAATGGAATTTCACATGCTGTGCTAACGGCTGCATGTTGGGGATTAGACACACGGGTGGATCTTGGATTCACTGCTCCACACTGGCGTTGTTCACATGCGCCTTTTTGCAGGAGCACCTCGCCTTTTTTGGATAATGGTGTGTGGATGCTTCTTTTTTTTTTGAAGGCAGAGATGAAGGCTGAGCAGGACAGTAGCAGTGTATGAACACAGTGTGTGTTCGTACAGTCACTGGCTTCAAGGTACAATAAAGAGTATTTGAAACGAGTTGTTTTGCATTTCAAAAGAACAAAGGAGCTACAGTTGGACGGGGATAAGAGCAGTTTGAGATTTTAATGGATTCCAAGGTTTAAGATTTAGATGCAGCATATACCCCTCAATAAACACACACCGCCTTTTAGCAATAAATGATAAAGATAATGTTTGAGATTTCAGACATKAGAGGGAACGCCAGGTTTCTGGTGGAGCAGCTAAAGCAAGTCGAGGCACATCTGGTACGCAGGTTCTACACAAGCCTGAGGTGATGTTGAAGCTGTAAACTCTGCTAAGGTTCCTCATGCTGAAATATTTCTGTTCTGGTTAGATGGTTTCCTTCAGGAACCTTTTGCTTTTGTAGAGTAATAAAAATCAACAGATTTTAGATTAACACGCGGGGTCACAGTGCTGTTTCCAGGCCTTTAGCTGGGTGGAGTTTACATGTTGTCCCCGTGCACGTGTGGGGTTTCTCTGGTTTCCTCCCACTAAACAAAAGATGCATGTTAGGCCATTGGTAACTCTAAATGAGAGCGTGAATGGTTTGTCTTGTTTGTCTCGATGACGACCTGTCCTGGGTGCAGCCCGCCCCTCGCACTGTGACTGATGGACCCAGAGTGGGTAAAGAACAGGGATGGATGGGAAGTGCAAAAATGATTTGAAGGAAAAGGCCATTTGATTTATRATCTGACATTGCTTTAATCGTGCAAAACTGGGGTGTGAATGTGACGATATATGAGGCAGTGAAAGATTAGAGTGTGATGACAATCTGTCAGAGCAGATTATAGTATTTCTGCAGGACACAGAGTTGTTTTATATGGCACAAACTCCCTCGTTTCTGACTATGACTGGGTCAAAATACGTATGTAGCTAATAACAAGTCACTAAACTAATGACATTAAAAACATATTTTGGCACTGTTAATATTTTTTGTGTATGCATACATATATTTTACTTAAAAATAATAAAATACTACTAGAAATAGCAACTGTCTTCATCTTTTTAGTTTCTGGATATGATCTCAATCAGTGTTTTTCATCCCCAAATTAGGGAGGCTTTTTTCCCCCCCTTCAGCCAAATAACAGTGTTTGGTTAACACTGTTAGAACCATTTATATTCATATAATCTGAATACACTGTTCAGTAACTTGTAAAAAGTGAGAAAAATGTAAAAAGAAAACAATATTTTGCCATATAATCCAAACCTAGTGCAAACTATGATGCCTTTTATTATAATAATACAGAGTTTAAAATATAAACAGCTCCTGCAGGACAAGTGAATTTCATGCAGTTTGAGCACATTCAGTTAGTGAATAATTGATTTTGGTCCTTTAAAAGTGCGTGTTGTGTACCTCTCTGGCACTTTTGATGAGTCTCCTCGCAGCCTCCTTGCAGCTGTAAATCCTCTCTCCGTAGCTGGGCTGGAAGTGCGCCACGGCCCGCGTCACTCCCCGGTACGACCCCGCGGTGAAGGCGGGCCAGCCGAGCTCCAGCAGCGGGGGCTCCACGTCCGACACCTCGGGGAAGTAGGTGACCGACGAGCAGTCCAGTGAACCGCCGAGCGACGGCTCCAGCGCCTGCTGGTGGTCCTCCSCGTGGAGGGAAGCGCACCGCGGGGGCACGGCGGCGCTCCGGATCCGTTGGATTTCATCGTCTGACAGAAAGTTGGGAATCCTCTCTTCTCTGAGGAAATCCAGAAAGTCGCTGACCCCTCCGGACAGCAGCTGCTCCAGAGCCAAGCGGTGCCTCTCGTTGTAAACCTCCTGCAGGTTCAGCTCGTCGGACTGGACTTGTCTTGGRCCCAGCCTCAGAGGCGAATCGTCCAGGCGCTGTGACAGAGCCATACCTGTAAGTTCTCACTGGCCCGGACAACTCCAGGCAGGTAACGTTTCACCTAGGAGGAAAAATTCGTATTTAGTCGTTTCCCTCTGTTTCCGTCCGTCCAGTGTTCTGATTGGTTTCTGAAAAGTAGTCGAACTACATTTGGGTCTTTTAATTCGTCGAGTTGGTTGTCACTCAAAAATGCAGCGTCTCTGATTGGCTCATTTGGAGGCAAACAAATCTCGTGTACAGTGYCTCTGATCCGGTTACATTACAAAGAGTAGTGAAAGCGTAAGAGGTGTCACTCTGACGGGTTTCCGTTCAAACAAACGAACAGACAGAAAAGTGGATTCTGCGTTCTTTCTAATTGCTGTTCATGAATTAGTGAAACTAACTCGGAGAATCTGATCAAATATGTTCAAGAAAACTGAGTTTTAGCGTGTTATTGTGGAAGGCTGTCTTACAGCTCAGATCTTACAAATCATTCTCAAATGTTTTCTTTAAAATAATAAAGGTTAGAACATTTTTTGATCAAAGTCTAACAATATTAACTTTCTCCTCCGCTTTTAAAACAGTAYGTGCCAGGAACATTTGTGTGTGTTAAGTATCTGGAAAGGTCTGGTTTTCACTGTGGTCCCTTTGTGAATATGTGCCTGCGGGCAGAACTGTGGGTTTTTTGGTTARAATGGAGTGAGGTTAAATTAAAGAATTTCACAAGTCGACCAGTTCCCAACCAGCAAGATGACCTTGAAGAACATTCAACTGACTTTATAGATGTTATGATAAAGTTTTAGAGCAGAAGGCAGATAGATAAAGAATGCTTCGTTTTCACTRTAAAGATAGTGACAATGGTGTTTAGATCATAAATACGTAAAAAAAGGGATTTATTCATGATATCTGGGGAAAAAACATTTAAATGATGTGCGTATGGAGGCTTAAATGTAAAGCATAAACAATTCAAATGAGCTGCACCTTGTTTGAACTTTGTGTGTGTTAGGAGGAAATGAGGGTTTAATGACTGACAAAATTAGCTTCAGTCCACCACACCTTCAAATTATCGAATGAATCAAACACATYGCAGATTTTTAATCCTAATGTTAAAACCACAGGTGTTCAATRTTAACATGTTTCATTGTATGTTGCTCAGACTGACATTGTTTTAAAGGTAGGTGATTCATTGTCTTCATTTCTTTTCTTTTCTTTACAGTTTCCTTATCCAGTTTGGACAAATTTGAAATRAAGAGAAAATCTGTGTGTTCTTCCACTCTGGAAACATATGCAGTGGACCTTTGGGTATACAGTCCACCCACCTGTTAGCTGTGGAAATATAAACATTTCTAAATCCATCTTAGGCCTATCCTTGAGGCCTATAACTTGTCTCCAACTCTTTGGGGCTTTGGGGTGACCTCAGCTCTCTATTTGCCTTAAACATTATGTAAATAGTCATTTTCTAAAGTGATCTAATGTGCTTAAAGCCCCTTTCTTCTTAACTAACACCTAATATATTATTTGCATTTTTCCTGTTGTATAATAAGCTTGTTTTTGCCCGTCTGGAGTTGCGCGCTCCTCTGAGCGCTTTTACGCGCAGAAGGCCAAGAAGGTCACGAGGCCCGCAAAACGCAACAGGCGCGTCTTTCTGGTCACGCATCAGTACAGCGCTACTAGCCTGACTCGGAGAGAAATATCATGTGGGGTTTAAACACACATATTGTACATGAAGAATTGGGTTGCAGCTCCGGCGCATCTGCGTAAAAACGCGCCTGTGCGTAAATGTCTATTTTAAGTCGGGCTTATGTGGAGACGATCATAACGACATCCTTTTTATTATTATTCTGAAAAAAGATGGATTTTAATGGAGGGGAAGCCATTAAGAATCATTTTTTTACGGCGAAACAAAATCCAAAATGAAACATCCAAAGGGGAAGAAAAAAAATCAGCTCCGCGGCGCAATTGGTGGTTAGAGCCCCCACCCGCTCCGCCACCCCAGAACCAAAATGTGCACCGGGCTCACAGTGCACCCTCCTCTCTTCACACACATACATCCCCATCTCATCCCCGCCCCTTTCCAAATTTTTAGATGAAAGGGCTTTTGGATTTTGGATGACGCTCTGGATCACGTGCTCATAGG